CCCGGGTGAATCGGGCCCACTCTCCTTTTTGCTTTTGTGTATTGGCATTCATTCCATGCAGGCACCTGTGAACCCTGACCACTGGTTTGCCCTCTAGTCTGAAAGCAGGTGCAATTGTTTCTGTCTTCAACAAAAGAGAAACCTCAAGTTTAGAAAGGAAAAGAACTTTTCCAGAGTCACTAGCTAGGGAATAGCAGAGCCAGAACTCCAACCCAGGTCATCTCACTTCTGACTCTAAACTTTTAGTTGCCACACTTGGCAGTGGGACTTGAAAATGTAATCACCCACAGGCAGGTAATTTCAACAACAGAAGCTGGCTGAGTGTGAGGCAGTAGGGAGTGGTGGGGATTGTTGCATCTAGAGGAACGGCTGTTCTGTCAATTTTTGGCAGTATGGATTTTTTTTTTAAATTTTTTAGAGACAGGGTCTCGCTCTGTTACCCAGGCTGGAGTGCAATGGTATGATCATAGTTCACTGTAACTGTGAACTCCTGGGTTCAAGGGATCCTCCTGCTCAGCCTCCCAAATAGCTGGGACTATAGGCATGTGCCATCACACTTCGTTATTTTTTTAATTTTTTGTAGAGATGAGGTCTCGCTATGTTGCTCAGGCTGGACTCTAACTCCTGGGCTCAAACAGTCCTCCTGCTTCAGCCTCCCAAAGTGTTGGAATGACGGGTGTGAGCTACTGCGCCTAGTTCTAGTTTCTCAGAGAAGCTGCAAGTCCTGCTATTTGTGTAAACGCTCCAGATTTCCAGTCTTTTGAGTAGGGGTGGATGGAGCACAGCACTCTTCCTGACTGGTTTGCCTTTTTGTCTGGGAGTCTGTGATATGTTTCTTTTCTCTCCTTTGTCTCTTGAGAACCGTCTGGCTCCCAGCACTCCCTGATCCCTTCTCTGACCTGAGGTGGGCACACCCTGCCCACTGGCCCTCCTCCTGAGGCCAGGGATGAAGGGTGCTGAGGTCAAGAGAGCCTGGGGGCTGGGAGAGGGGTTTACTGTCTCTTTTTTTTTGACTTGGAGTCTCACTCTGTCACCCAGACTGGAGTGCAGTGGCCGCTCCCAGCCACCGCAGCCTCGACCTACTGGGCTCTGGCGATCCTTCCGCCTCAGCCTTCCAAGTAGCTGGAACCACAGGCATGCGCCACCACACCTCCCTAATTTTTTGACTTATTGTAGAAACAAGGTCTTGCCATGTTGCTCAGGCTGGTCTCGAACCCCTGAGCTTAGGCATTTTTCTCGCTTCCACCTCCCTAAGTGCTGGGACCACAAGTGTGAACCACCGTGCCCAGCTTACTGTCTTATCTTTCCCACATGGTTGGGGGGGGCGTGGGCAGTTGGCGTGGGCCCTTCCTTGGCATGAGGCAGGCCTGGTGGGCCCTGAGTGCCCATGGCAGTGCCTGTGTCCCCTGCACCCCAGAGAGAAGGGCCGTAAGGAGAGAGAGTCCCTGCAGCAGATGGCAGAGGTCACACGGGAGGGCTTCCGCCTGAAGAAGATCCTCATCGAGGACTGGAAGAAAGCCCGGGAGGAGAAGCAGGTAAGGCCTGGGGCCGATCAGGGCGCTCTGGGCCTGGAGGCTTCGAGGACAGGATGGGAAGGTTGGCATGGGGCTCACCCTGCCCTGACTGGTAGCATCCGAGGCAGCTCACTGCCTCCCTGCTCCTGGCCTTCTCATTGGTGGGCTGGGTGCTTAGTTGCCAGCTAAGGCAATCCCTGGTGGGGGCAGTCGATTTAGGTGTCCATCAGGGCCTCACATCAGACTGGATTGGCCTAGGAGGGGCTCTGCTGCCTCCTGGGGGCAGGAGGAGGTCTTCTCTGCATCCCGGTTCTGTGGGTTCGTTTTCTGCAACATGGCTAATGACCGTGTGACTCCCCAGTTCTGGAGGGAGCACTCTACAAGATGTCAGCAGTGCCTGGATTAGTTCCGTAGGGTGGGCCCTGGGGATCCCTAGGCGTGTGTCTCTCCTTACCCACCACCCCCTGTGTAATGGGTTGGAGTCCCCAGCACTGTTGCTGTTCAATCCACTGAGGGCTCCAGCTCTGTTTCCCTGCCTAAGGAAGGCTCCAGGTCTTTCCCCCTCCATGTCTAGTGAGGTCCCTCAATTCAGGAGGCTCTGTGGGAGCTATGTGATAGGTAAACTCCAAGTGACCTTTGCCTTCCTGGGGTGGGAGAAGGATCCTGGCAGGAGGCCAGGCCAAGGTGTTTTCCAGTGTCTTGGGAGGAAAGTAGTCCCATGGGAGCTTGGGCTAAAGCCCTACAGTTCAGGGCCCCATCCTCAGACCAGAGCCAGCCCAGTGTACTTGTTCTTTCTTGAAACATCCACAGAGGCCCAGGATGTGCCAGGCATCGGAGATGAGGCCAGAACCAGATCCAGATCAGCCTTAAGGGGCTCATGGTCCAGTGAGAGGGACAGACAGAAGGTAGCCCCCAGAACTGCTGGGTGAAGGGAAATCTGAGGCTGTGAGACTTGAAGGAAGCTCTTGCCTGGTCCCCTTCCCTCTCTGTCTTAGGGCAGGAAACAGGGAAGTCTTCCTGGAGGGGGCAGCCTCTAACCAAACAAATCTGTAGGGTAATTTGGAGTTAGCCAGGGAGAGTGTTCTGGGCTGTGTTTGAAGAAGTAGAGGCAGAAGAGTGTTTGAGGGTCTGAGTGTTGTCAGGGCAGTTGGGTCCTCAAAGTAGTGGGAAAGCAGCGGGGGTCTGATGACTTGAGGCCTTGTGGGTTGTACTAAGGCTTTGGGGCTTGTCTCTAGAGGACCAAGGGGAACCCCAGCAAGGGCAAGGCCCACTGAGGTGTGTGCTTTGGAAGGACTCCGGTTTCCCTGTGGAGTAGAGGTCAGGAGATGGCAGTCAGAGGAGAGGAGAACTGGTTTCTTTCCTTCTGCCCACCCAGAAAAAGCTCCTTGAGCTGCAGGCTGGAAAGAAGTCTCTGGAAGACCAGGTGGACATGCTGCGAACGGTGAAGGAGGAAGCCGAGAAGCCGGAGAAAGAGGCCAAAGAGCAGCACCAGAAGCTGTGGGAAGGTATGTCGTGGGTGGCCAGAGCCCTCGCCTCTACTCCTGGATAGGAGGTGGCCTGGGTGTCTCTTACTCATTAGCTGCTGTCAGTTTCAGCTGATTTTGATCATGGTACCTCTGTTCCTTATGTGTCTAGTTATCTTTGACTATGTGCTGGTCATCATGTGTAGAAATTATTTACAGGAGTAATTTGCAGCCTAGGAATAGAGGGTCTTCTCCAGGGAGAATCTCCTTTAATTTCTGTCAGGGGTCCGGGAACACTGCTGTCCAGGGATCCCTTGAATCCAAACTCGGGGTTTAAGATTTCTCCAGCCTCGCAGTGTGCGATCCAGCCTGCCACTGAGGGGTAGCCCCTTGGGGTTGTCGGGGGCATTGCCTGTTAGCTCCCCCCACCCTAGACTTTGATCCCCTTACCCCACAAGGTCTTATCAAAACAGACATCCAAACTGGCCAGGATTGGCAAAGTACATTAGGGAAAAGTGGCTTCTGTGTGCTGTTACCTTCCTGAGTTCAGCCCTGACAGTTTCTGTTGTCTTTGCTGATTTTTTTTTTTTTTTTTTTTTTTTAGTTGGAGTCTCACTCTGTCACCCAGACTGGAGTGCAGTGGCCGCTCCCGGCCACCGCAGCCTCGACCTGCTGGGTTCCGGCGATCCTTCCGCCTCAGCCTTCCGAGTAGCCGGAATTACAGGCATGCGCTACCACGCCCGGCTGATTTTTTGATTTATTGTAGAGATGAGGTCTCGCTGCCCAGGTGGGTCTCAAACCCGTGGACTCAGGCAATCCACTCACCTCAGCCTCTCAAAGTGCGGGATTACAGGCTGAGCCACCGAGCCCGGCAGTCTTTGCTGATTTTTTTTTTTTTTTTTTTTTGAGTCATAGTCTCACTCTGTCACCCAGACTGGAGTGCAGTGGCTGCTCCCGGCCACCGCAGCCTCGACCTGCTGGGCTCCGGTGATCCTTCCGCCTCAGCCTTCCGAGTAGCAAGAATTACAGGCGCGCGCTATCACACCCGGCTAATTTTTTGATTTTATTGTAGAGATGAGGTCTCGCTGCCCAGGCGGGTCTCGAACCCGCGGACTCAGGCAATCCACTCACCTCAGCCTCAGCAGGATTACAGGCTGAGCCATTGAGCCCGGCTCTTTGCTGATTTTTAAGAAGATGATTTTTTTTATGCTGAGCCATCGAGCCCGGCTCTTTGCTGATTTTTAAGAAGATGATTTTTTTTATGCTGAGCCATCGAGCCCGGCTCTTTGCTGATTTTTAAGAAGATGATTTTTTTTATGCTCTGTCTGGCATTTGGCTTTTGGTGAGCTGTGCTGCCATTACTGGAGATCCGTGGAAGCAGGATAGAATGGGGTGGTAGGCGGAAACCACAGCAAACGAGTTAGAGGACAGAGTGTTGCTGTGATGATGTGGAAGCGTGGTCCCCTACCACAGAGCTGGGCACAAGGAACTGGGAGGCTGTCAGAAACCAGGGCAGCTCCCTCACCAAGGCAACGCTGTTGACCTCCGTCTTTGGGCATCTGCCACATTCTCCATCTCCCTTGCCCCAACTGGCTCAGCCTGTTCTCGTAACAAGGTGTTCAGTAGTTCTTCTCATAAATGCACTACAGATGCCAGCGGCACAGCATTGCCCTGGGCAGACACAGCCCCTCCCTGCAGAGGGAACAGGTGCAAAGGCCCTGAGAAGGCTTAGTGTCTGCTTCCAAGGAGCAGGAAAAAGGCCACATGGCTGGAGAAAGTAGGGAATCTGTGGAGACAAGGGCAGGGTGCTTGTGGATTGGGTCATTCAGGACCTCAGAGGCCACAGGCAGGAATGGGCTCTCACGCCTAGTGAGGTGGAAGCCACGGAGGGTTCTGAGCAGAGGAGGGACACACGTGGGTTGGGGGTTTGCGGGCTCTTCTGGCTACTGGCCTAAGACTGAGAGCCGGGAAACGGGGGAAGAGCTGAGTGTACTGGTCCAGGCTGGTGAGGAGGTGGGTGGCTGTGGGCGACCGTGGTGGGGAGAGAGGCAGGGGGTCTTGGGTGTGACTTGCGGGCACACTGAGGGTGTCCCCCCACCTCCCCACTCTGGGTCGGCATGTTCCCCGGCCCACCGAATAGTGAGGCTTCCGCGCAGAGTCTCAGTAGGCCCACTGAGAGCACCTGCAGAGACTCCCTTCCCCCTCCTCAGCAGAGGCCGCTTCCTGTCCCAGACCCCAGTTTCCACTGCCCCCCGCCCTACAGACCTGTGGTTACCCCCTGCTGGCACGCTCTCCTGCCCGGGAGCACCCCCAGGCTTCTGCAGCCCCAAAAGCCGGCGCCAGTCCCCACCTGCCCCTGTGGTGCCCTTGCCACTCTTTCCAGCCTCCCCAGGGAAGGGGCTGCTGCGTTTCCTGGACCCCCGCCCTCCGTGGTCCCTGAGCTTCCCGCAAGGTCACCGTCACCAGCACCCTTCCTGCTGCAAGTCCAGGCAGCCCTGTCTCTTCCTTCTGGTGGAGGTTGGCTTCCTGAACTGCCTCGTTCTGGCTTCCGAGGCCCTGGTGCCCCGGGTCCCTTTCTGAAATCCGAGCCTTTGCTCTGCCTCCTTGGTGGAAGCCCCTGCCTGGGGAGGCTGGGCCCCTGCCTGGGGAGGCTGGTCCCCTGCTTTCACTGCCTGTGGTCGGGACTCTTCTCCGTCTGCTCAGCAGGCCCACGACCCTGCGGACTCTTCTGGACTGGGCCCCTGACCTCTGTCATCTCCCTGCCTTGGGCCCCTACCTGAAAATCCTGCTGCCCCCAAAAGCACCTGCATGTCCCACAGGGACCCTGGACTTACCAGGCTGCCCCCTTTGCTCCCCTGAGCCTCCCTCCCTCCTCAGTGCTGACCAGTCACCCAAGGCTATCAGAACTAAACATAGAGACCAGGCAGTGGCAGACTGTGGTGCACAGGCCAACCGCAGCCTGCAGGCCAGATCCACCATGGCTTGTTTTCACACACGGAGTTTCACTGACACATAGTCAGGGCCCTCTGTGGCATCATGTCTGTGGCTGCTCTGGGATGTGACAGAAGAGTTGATGCTCAGAACAGCGAACCCTCTGCCCCCGCGAAGGCAAGGGTAGTTTCTCCAGTATTGATCTTCACCCAGAGTTTGTTTTATGTCAGTCACCCCATTGCTTTCTACCCCGTGAGGTGCACCCAGAGAGTCCCATTCCACAGATGAGGGAGCCGAGGCCAGAGAGGTCACTGGCTTGCCCAGAGCCTCACAGTAGAGCTGGGTTGGCACTAGATCTCTGATTGCAGGCCCTGCGTGTCACCTGTGTCCCTTCCTCAGTCGGGGCCCCTTTCTGGCCTCCCTCTGTGGGGTCATGCTGACAACCAGCAGCCTTGGTAGGGATGCCCTTGTTTTGATGCCCTGCCCCCATGCCCTGTCCCCTCACCCCATCGATCTCATTGCCATTGCCCCAAGACCTTTGCCTTGGCCGTTCCCACTGCCCTGACCTGCTGCCCTGTGCTATTATCGGACCAGCCATTCTGGCTGCTGTGCCTTAGCCCCTCGGAGGCCACAGCCCTCCCCCGCAAGACTTCCAGCTTCCTTCTAAAGTTGAGGGCTCATCGCAGGGGACTAAACCCCAGCTTGAATCCTTGTCATAAAAAGTTTCCGGGCCAGCAGGACCCAGGGTTTCCAAATGGCAGAAGTCCTCCCCCTACCTCTAGCTCTGTCTCTTCCTCCCACCTCTGGCTCTGTCTCCTCCTCTGGGGCTTGTGCCCACCTGTGCCAGCGTAACCACTGGCAGCCAGGCTTTTGCAGCTCAGCAGCCCCAGTGAGGAGAGAGCACTGCTTTCCTGCCCCCCAGCACAGATCCCAGGGCAGGCTCCCCTCCCACTGGCTCATCCCAGGTCACACGGCTATCCACAAGCCAGTCTGCAGCCAGGGATTACAGTGAATGCTCTGACTGGTCAGCAAGAGCTGGGCTTGGCTTCTAGGTCCTAAGACCTGACTGTAAGGATGGCCAGCTGCCCTCAGAAATATGGGGGAGGGGTAACCATAAACAGTGGGGGGTGATTACTGAAAGGGCAGAGCTGCAAGTCATGATTACCCTTGTTCCCCATGTCCTGACTCCTGTTTTACAGTTGGGCACAGCACAGGATCCCCCAACTCAGACTTTGAAGGACAGTGCCAGTTCATCAGGGGTATGAGGGATGTGAGGTGTCTCTTAAGCTTGAGAGAAGGCTAGGAATCTCCCTTTTTGCTTTTCCTAGTTTCCACTGATTTAAAAGAAATTCAAACGAGGCATGATGGCTCACACCACAGTCTCAGCTGCGTGGGAGACTGAGGTGGGAGGATTGCTTGAGCCTCGACCTGCTGGACTCAGGCGAGATGCTTCTGCCTCAGCCTTCCAAGTAGCTGGAACCAGAGGCACACGCCACCATGCCCCACAAATTCTCTTATTTGTTGTAGTCCCAAAGTGCTGGATTGCAGATGTGAGGTATTGCACCAGCTTCATTTTTTAAATTATAGTGAAATATATGACACAAAATTTGCCATTCCTCATTTGTGTTGGGAACATTCAGCGTCTTCCTCGCTATTTAAAACTACAGTGTGTTGTTAACTATAGTCATTCTGCGGCAGCATAGAACAGAGAACTTATTTCTTCTAGCCACTTAACCTTTTTTTTTTTTTTTTTTTTTTGAGTTGGCGTCTCACTCTTGTTGCCCAGGCTGGCAAACAGTTCAATGGCGTTAAGTACATCCACAGTGTTGTACAACCACCGTCTAGTTCCAGAACATTCCATCACCCCAAAAGAGAACCTGTCCCCATTAGCAATCACTCCTCTGACAGCCATTAATCCGCTTTCCGTCTGTGGATTTGCCTATCTTGGACATTTCGTGAACGTAGAATCCTACAGTATGTGTGTGGCCTTTTGTGTCTGACTTTCTTCATCAGCATAGCATTTTTGAGCTTCATCTGGGTTGTAGCTTGTGGCAGGACCTCCTTTTAACAGTGGTGTGGATTCCCTTTTATGACTTTGGCAGGATTTATTTAACCAGGATACTATTTTTTCTATCAGGTTTTTGATATTTGTTTTCATTATTTCTAGGCACTTTTTACATATGGAGTTTGGCCTTTTGTGACAGATTTTTTTCCCCCTTCTATTATTCTAGGCCATGATTTATTTATTTATTTACTTATTTGTTTGGTTGTTTGTTTAGAGTTGGGGTCTCCCTCCAACACCCAGGCTGGAATAGTGGCACAGTCACAGCTCACTGTAGCCTCGACCTCCTGGTGCTTTTTTTTCCAGGCCATTATTTATTTATTTATTTGGAGGCGGGGTCTCCCTCTGACACCCAGGCTGGAATAGTGACACAATCATAGCTCACTGCAGCCTTGACCTGGACTCAAATGATCCTCTCCCAGGCCATGCTTTAGAAAATGAATTCAGAGCTGGGCTCGGTGGCTCAGCCTATAATCCCGTGCCTTGGGAAGCTGAGCTGAGTGAATTGCCTGAGCCCGCGGGTTCGAGACCCGCCTGGACAACTTGGTGAGACCCCATCTCTACAATAAATCAAAAATTAGCCGGGCGTGGTAGTGTGTGCCTGTAGTTCCAGCTACCTGGAAGGCTGAGGCGGAAGGATCGCCAGAGCCCAAGCAGGTCGAGGCTGCAGTGGCAGGGAGCGGCCACTGCACTCCAGTCTGGGCAACAGAGTGAGACTCCAACTAAAAAAAAAAGAAAAGAAAGTGAATTCAGGCCCAGCATGATGGTTCACACTTGTAATCCAAGCATTTTGAGAGACCGAGGCAGGAGGATGCTTGAGGCCAGTTCAAGACAGACCTGGGCAACATAGCAAGACTCTGCCTCCAACAACAACAACAAAAAAAAAAACCCCCAAAAGAAACTGTACTCAATCGTCTGGGCTTTGCCTGCCTCTTTGCTGCAGCAAGCTTCCTTTCAGGTGGCAGCAAGCTTCCTTTCAGGTGGGTCTGGGCAGACTCGGGGCCCGTTGCCCTTTGGAGGTGCAGAATCAGAGGACAGCAGTACATTTGGACCAGATTCCCAGAGGGGCAGGGCTGAGTGGGGCATCTGGGGGCAGCCAGCCTGGCTTGGGCCTTGACTGCTCCCCTCATTGGCTGCCTTCACCAGCCTGAGCCTCGGGGACCCCTGAGGCCCTCATCGCTGACAGGGACCGTGTCAGCCGGGTCTGCTGGGACACTGTGGAATCTCCCGGGGTGCCCCAAGGCTCTGCAGAAGAAGTACCAGCTGTTGTTATTATCTTGTTTTTAGAGGAACAAGCTGAAGCCTAGTATACAGTAGGTGCTTAATCACTGGAGCCACAGCTGTGGCTGCCTTTTCCTCCACCCGGGCTGGGTGGAGATGTGAGAGGCAAAAGAGGGACTGTTGGAACAGATGCAGCTGCATCTCAGTCCCTCCGTGTGGCCGGCCCCTCCTCCCGGACTGTCCTTGGGCCTGAAGCCTCGCCCACCCCCCAGACTTGCCCCCCAGTTGCCTCTGCCAGGCCCTAGTTGTTCAAACGGAAGGAGTCAGGGTCTTCTCTCTCTGCCCTGCCCCCACACCTGACCTGTCTGCAAGCCCATCAGCTGCCCTGAGAATCTTCCAGAGTTGGCTCCTCTCTGCCTCTTCCTCGACTTCCACCCTCGTCCCGCCGTGGCCCCAGGTGGGGCCTACACTCCTCTGCGCACGTCCCGCCCTCCCCACGCCGGGGGGGTCCTCGGCCCGCTCCCCCCACATGCCCTGCCCTCCCCCCACTCTGCCTTCTCCCTGTCCCTGTTCCTCCCAGCAGCCCCCTGGGCTGGGCTTCAGCCAGGCATCTTGTTTCTCGTCCGTCCTTCCCCCGCAGAGTACAGGACCCCTGTCATCTCTTCCCCAGCTGTGTGTCAGTGTGGGGTCGGGCACACAGCAGGCACTTGGTGGTGAGCGGCGAGGGGTCCTGTGGGGCATTGAGGGTGGCCGTTTTGGGGGAGCCGGTGGGCAGGCCACAAGGTGACGGAGCGGGCCCTCCACAGAGCAGCTGGCCGCCTCCAAGGCCCAGAGGGAGCAGGAGCTGGCAGCCGATGCCTTCCAGGAGCTGGACGATGACATGGATGGGACGTGAGTGTCCTGGTCCGCGGTCCCTTTCCCCACCGCGACTTGGGAAACCAGCCAGAGCCCTTCTCCCCTGAGGGCCTGAAGCATTTTCAGGGCGGGCCCTGGCAGGCAGAGTGGGCAGGCCCCATGGTGTGGCGGACCTCATCCCGCCTGCCTGCTCTGCTGTCCCACAGGGTCTCAGTGGCCGAGCTGCAGACCCACCCGGAGCTGGACACGGATGGGGACGGAACGCTGTCAGAGGCGGAAGCCCAGGTACCCAGCTGCCTTTGGCCTGCGACTTCTAGGGCCATTGTCCAGGGCGGCCCTGGGGCAAAGGGGACTGGGGAGGGCTCCTGCCTGCCCCATGATGCCTCCCTGGTGAGTGTGAGCCCAGATGCCAGCTGCCCAGGGCTGCATCTCCCCGCCGGGTGGGGCCCAGGATAAAGCCTTTGTCCCTGTGTCTGCTCCACCCTGTGTCCCCCTGTCCCCTCCAGCGTGTGCATCTGATGCCTCTCCTCACCTGCCCAGGTCCTGCTCCCAGCCTTCTGCTCAGCCCTGCCTATTGTCCCCCCTCAGGCTCCACCTGACTCTGTCTCAGTTTCTCCCCTGGTCTCCAGCCTGCGTCCCCTCTGGCTTCTCACAGGCCTGTGTGGCCCCCGCATGACCCTGGCCTGATCATGAGGACTCAGGGCCCGGCCCGCCCGCGCCTGGCACCACAGCCCGAGTGCCTGGGGTGGATGGTGAAGGGGTGGGAGGACATGGGGGCCCCGATCCTGACGCCGCTCCCAACACAACAGGCCCTCCTTGGGGGTGATGCGCAGACGGACGCTCCCTCCTTCTTCGACCGCGTCTGGGCCGCCATCAGGGACAAGTATCGGTCTGAGGTGAGTCTGCAGGGGGAGGGATACGGTCCTGCCCCCACCCGCCCCCACTGTTTCACAAAGGAGCTGCCTTCAGCCCTGGCACTCGGCCAGCCTGGCCAGCTGGGTGGCCCAAGCACCCCGGCGGAGGTCCCCCCCCCCCGCTCCAGCTGTCCATCTTTCCCTGCTGGCCCCTCAGGAGGGGTGGAGACACCCAGGCCACACCCCTTAGGCTATGGTTGCGACTTGTGGACCAAGCTCAAGGGGTGGGAACAGACAGACCCCCGAGTCCACAGCACCGACCATCCCGCTCATCCACCAGGCGCTGCCCACAGATCCGCCAGCGCCCTCTGCCCCAGACTTGACAGAGCCCAAGGAGGAGCAGCCCCTGGTGCCCTCGCCACCCATGGAGGAGGAGGAGGAGGAGGAAGAGGAAGCTGAAGAGGAGGAGGAGGAGGAAGATGATTCCGAGGTGCAGGGGGAGCAGCCCAAGGTGTGTGTTTGGAGGATAAGTGGGGACAGAGGGTGGGGAGGGGCTGCTCGCTGACTCTGCCCCTCCCCCAGGAGGCCCC